CCCCTGGCTGAACTGCGGAGCGAGAAACAGGAGCTTCTAAGGACAGAACAGGACAGAGAAGCCTTGGAGGCACAGTGGTGATCCTCTCATCATCCCGTGCCTCCGGGACGGCTGGGGTGAGGCCCTTGCTCAGCCCGCAGCTTCCAAATGCTTGCGCAGCCAGGCATAGCAGTGGTTGCACAAGGTAGGCAGTGCTGACGCCCCTCATCCCGGCTGCCTCCTGTATCGGGGGTATCCATCACTCCCGGCAGCTCCCCAGAGAGGTTTTACTCCTCTTGGGATGGCAAGATCTGGCCAAAGTAAGGCTGATTGCTGGGGCAGCAAAGGAAGATCTATTAGTAATCGCCCATTTCTCTATTATTCTTGGGTATTTCCTGGTTTCCGTGTTGTGTGATGTTTACCAAGGACAGACAGCCAAAGTAAACCACCCGAATGAAAAATTGCAGATTTAAAAACCAGCTGCAGAGCAATGCTGGTCCCCTGCCTTCCAGTGCTTTAGTCACTCCAGATTAGGTGCTTGCTTGCCGTTCTTCTGCAGATAGGCTTATAAGCAATCACCCTGAGGCAAACCTGCCTCCGTACACAGCCACAGGCAGAAAGTTTAGACAGGTCTGGAAAGACTCTCTAGCAAGAGGAGGGATTAATGTGCCTGCTTGTTAACTTTGGCAGCGTGTGTAGTCATTGTGCCAGCAGAGCTAGGGGAAGCAAACGGGGAGGGATTGTTTTATGATCAGTGGCATTCCTGATGGATGGGAGGGTTTCTTTTAGGGACAGACTTCCTAGCAGGAGTAAGAGGCAGAGTGTGGAGTACAAAGCAGCTCCTTCATGGCCAGGATGCCGTTTTGGCAGGAGGAGCCAAAATGAATGGAAACTTTCCCTTCTCCCTTAAGCCAGTTGCAGACCTGATTTACCCAGAGTGAGTCAGTGGTATCAACGTCCCGTAACTTGGTGACAAGTTACAAGCTCACAGGGGTTTTTTGTCCAGCAAACCAGCTTGCCAGCTCCTTTCTGAGTTCCCTGTGAAAAGGAAGGGGCCGCCCAGGCTAGAGATGGGATTTCTTCACCTGCAGAAAGAGGGTACAAGTCAAACTCATTCATAGGCTGTGTTTCACCATGACAAGTGTGAGGAATACTTACCTTGCAGAAAAACTTAGGCCTCTGAACGGTAGGGGAGAAAAGCTCAGCCAGCATTCACCTTCTCTGACCCTTCTCCCATTACTCACTGCATTTTTGTTAGTGACCCTTGACAGATACTATTCAACTGGAAGATTTCGCAGTCATAGAGGACACTATCAGATGGAAAAACATGGGGACACAAGAGAGGTGACCAAGAAAGAGTTGTGCCTCTCAGTATGCTTTGCTTGGCCTTTCGCTCCCAGATATGAGCTGGGAAAAAAAGAGTTCAAGGAACCAACCCCACAGAAAAAAAGTACTCTGAAGGAATGATTTTAAGGGGAATTTGTTGAAACTATAATCATGGAACATACAGGAAATTTATTTAAAATGATGTCATAAAAATAGCACATGAAAGAAGTGCAAATGTAACATAATTTCTGTAAATAGAAAAGAATCCTTATGCTGACACCTGTGTAAGTTATAAGCTGAAAACAAACCAGCTGGCCAGTTTACTGGGTAAGTGTTGTTAAACACTGGATGCTAAGACCCAGAGAAACAAAGATCTTTTGCCTTCAAGTGCAAACCTCATGGTGAGTTCAGTGTTGGAGGAATATCACCTGAATCGATACAAGGTAAGAGAATGCATCTAATTTGATGTTTTTTCCCACAATAGAGCAGATGTAAGGTAGACAGATTTTGTTATCCTATTGCTGTATCTGAACCAACTTATTCTTCTGTTGAGATGGAAGTTGGTTGGTTTTACTTTTTTGTGTATGCTATTTCCTTTGATTCCTCTTCCTTTGATAATTCTTTGTCCAAAAGCTGCAAACTGCAAAGCAAATGCATCCTACGCTCATTAGTGTTCTACAAAAGTCTTTTTAACATTACTACAAGCCCCTGGTGTGATCTTGGTACAAGTTCCCTACTTGCTTTCATGTGAAGAGAGGGTTGGTTTTTCGTTTCCTCTTACCCTGCGCTCGTACCTTGTGCTTGTTGATCAGTTTTGGTCTCTGCTGGAGTTCCTAAGTCCTGCTGAAAGGCCTGCAGTGCCCGTAGTTTCTCTGGAGTGTCACTATTGGAGTAACGGGACATTGTTAAAGAAAGGATGATTCCCTCTCAAGTCCATGCCATAGCTACCCAACCTATGCTTCCTTTAATTCAAACAGACACTGTGACCTAGCCAAAACCACTGGGGTGAAACAAAACCTGAAGGAAGAAAAGCAATGCAAAAATTTTCCCATTAAAGCCATTGCCTAGAAGCACCACTCTGGGAGAGTGTGGTCAGCTGTGGTGAGGATTCCCTCAGGCATCTCTAGACCATCCTGGCTACATTTGCATTGCCAATGCACAGCCATACTCTGCATGGCATGTCATAGAATCATAGAATAGTTAAGGTTCAAAAGGACTTTAAGGTCATCTAGTTCCAACCCCCTGCCATGGGCAGGGACACCTCACACTAAACCACGTCACCCAAGGCTCTGTCCACCTGGCCTTGAACACCGCCAGGGATGGAGCACTCACAACTTCCCTGGGCAACCCATTCCAGTGCCTCACCACCCTTACAGCAAAGAACTTCTTCCTTATATCCAATCTAAACTTCCCCTGTTTAAGTTTTAACCTGTTACCCCTTGTCCTCTCACTACACTCCCTAATGAACAGTTTCTCTCCAGCATCCCTATAGGCCCCCTTCAGATACTGGAAGGCTGCTATGAGGTCTCCACTCAGCCTTCTCTTCTCCAGGCTGAACAGCCCCAACTTTCTCAGCCTCTCTTCATACAGGAGGTGCTCCAGTCCCCTGATCATCCTCGTGGCCCTCCTCTGGACTTGTTCCAACAGTTCCATGTCCTTTTTATGTTGAGGACACCAGAACTGCACGCAGTACTCCAAGTGAGGTCTCACGAGAGCAGAATAAAGGGGCAGGATCACCTCCTTCAACCTGCTGGTCACGCTCCTTTTGATGCAGCCCAGGATACGGTTGGCTTTCTGGGCTGTGAGCGCACACTGCCGGCTCATGTTCATTTTCTCATTGACCAACACCCCCAAGTCCTTCTCCACAGGGCTGCTCTGAATCTCTTCTCTGCCCAACCTGTAGCTGAGCCTGGGATTGCTCCAACCCAGGTGTAGGACCTTGCACTTCATGAGGCTGGCATCAGCCCACCTGACAAGTGTGTCAAGGTCCCTCTGGATGGCATTCCTTCCCTCCAGTGTATCAACCAAAATACAGCTTTGTTTGGATGTTTGAATGCCGTGGAAGATTGTTTGGTTTGTGTTCATCAGGGGTCAGTATTGGGACTGATCCTGTTTAACACCTTTGCCAGCAACATGGACAGTGGGATCGAGTTTGCCCTCAGCAACTTTGTCAGCAACACCAAGCTTTGTGGTGTGGTTGACACACTGGAGGGAAGAAATGCAGTCCTTGGGACCTTGACATGCTTTAGAGGAGGGCCAGTGCCAACCTCATGAAGTTCAACAAGGCTAAGTGCAAGGTCCTGCACTTGGGTCAGGGCAATCCCAAGCATAGTTACAGGCTGTGCAGAGACTGGATTTAGAGCAACCCTAAGGAGAAAGACTTGGGGGTGTTGGTCAATGAGAAAATGAACATGAGCTGGCTGCAGTGTGCGCTCACAGCCCAGAAAGCCAACCGTATCCTGGGCTGCATCAAAAGGAGCGTGACCAGCAGGTTGAAGGAGGTGATCCTGCCCCTCTATTCTGCTTTCATGAGACCTCACTTGGAGTACTACATCCAGCTCTGGGAACCCTAGCATCTGAAAGACCTGGGCCTGTTGGAGTGAGTCCAGAGATGCTCTGAGCTCTGGAGCACCTCTCCTATAAAGACAGGCTGAGAGAGTTGGGCTTGTTCAGCTGGGAGAAGAGAAGGCTCTGGGGAGATCTTAGAGCAGCTTTCAGTGACTAAAGGGGGCTTACAAGAAATCTGGAGAGGGGCTTCTTACAAGGGCATGTAGTGACAGGACAAGGGGGAATGGCTTTAAACTGAAAGAGGGGAGATTTAGATTAGATACTGTGAAGAAATTCTTCCCTGTGAGGGTGGTGAGGCCCTAGCACAGGTTGCCCAGAGAAGCTGTGGCTTCCCCATCCTTGTCAGTGTTCAAGGCCAGGTTGGACGGGGCTTTGAGAACCTGGTCTAGTGGAAGGTGTGACTGCCCGTAGCTGGGGCTTGGGAATGGATGAGCTTTAAGGTTGCTTCTAACCCAAACCAGTCTGTGCTTCTAACCCAAACCAGTCTGTGCTTCTATGATATGTTAGAGAGAAATTAAGTTCAAAGTTTGTAAATGTGGGTATTTCACAGCAGTAGAAAGCCCCTTGTTTTGGAGTTTGATGCCTAATAGGGGGTGTTTCTTTCTATCGATATTGCAATAAGGACGAAAAGGCATCTTACAGCACAGGCACAAGAGTTACACAGTCTGTTCTGAATGTATCATTCCTAAGCTGGTACTGCTACACTCAAGGAAACTTACAAAAGAGCAAGAAATGCAATCTGAGGGTAATTTAGGAGGAATGATTAAAATAGCTGAGTGCGTACTTGAAAATCAGCTTGGGATGTCTGTTTTCAATCATGTTCAAGTCTGGAAAGACAGAGAATGGTCACATATTGGAAATATCTAATTATTTGAAGATGTTTTGGTGGCTCTGTCAGAGTCAATGCATGCTTTTCAAATACTGACATCATTTTATGATCAGAATTTTAACTTCTAGTAAAAATGATTTTTTTCATGGGTGTTTACAGCTCTGCTGTACTCAAGCTTCTAAAAAGTTGGTTTAAAAAAATATACAATTGTAAAGGAATACAAAAGAATCCCTGTGAGAGACTCATAAAACGTGTCATGAAAGTGCAAAAAACTTCGGAATTAACTCATTTGATTTTTGCCTATTTTTTAAAAAATATGGAGCTTTGATAGGTGGTAAGTCAAGAGAAGTACCTGCACTGAAGGAACAAGTTCTGAAGCCTTGAATAACTGAAAACAAGGATTTGGAATGGACTGGCTTTATGTTTCTGAAATGCACTGTCGTGTCTGAAATGTTTCATGTCATCAGAGACAGAAGGAGGCAGCAGCTGAATGTGAAGCCTGAACTACCTGTACCAAACATATCCTGGCATTGTCTTTCTTGGAACAATCACAAAAATCTCGATATTTTATGGCATATGATAATGATCTGCTTCATTTCCTGCTCAGATTCTTGCCCAACTCTTAAAATACAATTACTTTTTTTTTGGTACAACAAGCACTTAAATATGTATCTCTGCACCCCAGCACACTGTTTTGCACCTCCATTCAGGAAAAAAACTGTCTGGTTCTGCAATGACTTGGTCCCATTCCCAGGAATGTTTCCCTTCCATTAAGAAAACCCAACAAAAGACACCCTCTCAACAGCAGCAAAAACAGAAAGAAAGCAAGTACTTTATCAGCACTAGTTAGACCTAGACATGAGACATGTGTCCATGCATTCCTCTCAGTGAGGCAAGACAAGGTTTGATGGACCTTTCCCGCACTGAAGCCCACTGACACAGTGTCCCTTTGCTCAGCCTCTTTTGAAGAAGCTTTTCCTCAGAGCTGAGCAAAGCTGTTTTTCCTCCTTCTGGGAAATTCCAGTGCTGGGATGTTAAACCCTAACTTCCTCACAACAGCCTGCCAGTGATGGCTTGCACCCGGTGGGCTGTGATAATGTATTTTCTCTCCTGGTGAGTAGAAATGAAGCGGAAGCTGTCCGACAGTGAGAGTAAGAGATCCCATTCCTCTCATTTCCTGACACCCCTACAGTGCAGCCCACTTGAGGAACCCCACCCTGGGGTACCTACAGTGCCCCCAATAGCTGGGGATGTACTAGGGGGACAGCACCATCTCAGCGCAAGCAGGTTTGCTGCCTCCTGGGAGGCCAGAGCTGAGGGTGGTTGTGGCTCTGTCTGGAAACCTGCAAAATCCTTGTTTTGGAATAGGCACGGCACCTTTTTTTCTTAAAAACTGCAGAGATGTTTTATGTCTCCAAATGCTGTCTGGGCAGCCCATGATCTCTGTCGTGTAGCTTGGGATACAGCAAAGCAAACTGACTGACACAACAAGATACAGCGCAAAGAAAAGAAGTCCTTCAAAATACTTTGTGGTACCCAGGTATGCTTCTCTGGCATCCAGCCCCATGCAGTTCTGGGAGCAAGCAGTGATGGCTGGGGGGACCCATTGTGTATGAGTTGTCTCAGAGTTCTCATTTGGAGCAACAATTCTGAGCAGTGCTGGTAATGGGGTTTTGTGTGTTTGCCATAGTGGTCTTCAGAACAGGGTGCCAAAGCTTGCTACAGCATTTACTGCTTTGCAACTGCGTATTCATGGAATATCCTGTCATTGCTTCAGAAACATAGAGTTTTCAACTCACCTAAAGTGCAAAATAAGAGAGGAACTGCGTTGTCCAGCTTTGCCTTGCATGTAGTCTGCTTTCTGTTGATGCAACTTCCTTGGGAGTCAAAACCTCATCAGGACTATTTTGCCAGAAATGAGGTCTTTTCCCTTGTTGAGTCATGCAGATGCAACTGGTCTAGAAAAACAAAACTTGCCGTGTTATTAGAACAAGCTTTGGTGCCTTAGCCTGTGAATTTCCCTGCTCACTTGCTCCTCTGTTAAAGCAGCAAATCAGCGTCATGTTATTCCCACTGAATGCTTCCAGACAGGATATGATAAAAAAAACCCACGACACAGCACTGCTTCCTTGGCAGAGGCAGTCCCGAAGGCTCGCTGCTGAATGAGTAACTGTTTACACAGCACTTCCATGCTCTCACAACAGTAGGGTGAGGATAGCTCAGAAGAAAAATAAAGGGAGTCTGCTCCTTTGCATTTAAACTTTCAGTCTGAAGATGTAACCAGGATATTGAGCAGCTGAGAGGTAGGCCTGATACCAAACATGACAGAGTTAAAAATGTTTATATTTTGTTATAGTGCTCCTTTTTGTTGTAGTTTGAAGACGAATAGCTGAAGCCCTGCAAGTCAAATTAAAACACAGGCACCAACAGTGCATGCCAAGGCCCTGCTTCCAGGGCTGTGAAAGGATGCCAAGCCATTCTGCTTTTAGTTACACGAGTATCACACCTCCTGCTCCAAAGACTGCAAGCACAGCTTTGATCACTTTTCCTCGCCATCCATTTCCTGGGGGGTTAGGAGAAGAGTGCCCCCGACTCAGTCCAGCTGGCACCCCTGCGGACAAGCTGACGTGCTAACACATCCTGGTTACCAGGGGTAAGTATCAGGAAGCAGTTTTGCACTGCTTGCAAATATTTGGAAGGCGTTTTTGCACATAACACAGCCTGGCCAATGTGTTTGTAAGCTCCTTCCCTGTTTCACTGCTTCTGCCTTTCCTTCAAGGCAGGGTTCTGGGGCAGGGTGTCACCTGGGTTGTGCCCCCTCTGCACTGCTTGCTTGTCCTTTCTCAGCAGAAAAACAAAAAGCATTCTGAGTGTGGATGCTGACGTACAGAAGGAAGGAAGGGAGGGGGCAGGCTGGAGGATCCTCTCATGTGGGACTGGGGAGGAGAAGTGCTTTAAAGAGTGTGATGTGCCCAGATACAGCAGGAGATGGAGGAGTCAGTACCTCTAGCTGGCAGAGGGGAGAGGGCTCAGGGCTCTAGCAACTGGAGTTTGATCCCAAAGCTGCGTTCCTTGAGTAACACAACACAGGTGCAGAAAGAAGAGGCAGTGGGGAACGTAGCAGTGAAATAATCCTTGTAATTCTGAGGGCAGACTGACTGAGGACAAGTGTTGCTACCTGGTTTGTGGCTTTTGATAAACAAGTTCATCCCTGTGGGATTCTATCCCACATAAGTGTATTTCTGTTTCTACATCTGCTTTGGTCAACACTCATCTCACACAGCCCTCCATCACTGGTTGCTGCCCTGTCTAGCAGCAGCGGTTTACAGGTGGAGAAGGGTTGTGGCAGGAGCCTGTCCCTCTGCCAGCACTCGGGGACCTGGCACAGAGCTGTGGGAGCCAGGGATGCTCTGCAGGCTGTAGCTGGGGATCAGGGAAGAGCTGGCAGAGGGAATCTGTGCTTCTTGTGCCGTCAAATAAACAGGAAACAAGAGACCTTAAAAAATGATGGCCAGAGCTCTGCCTCAGCCCCTGTTGGCAAAGGCTTGTGCATTGTCTCTGCTTGGAGCACCTGAAGTTACAAAACCACAGGCTTTTTGCAGCTCTGTGCCCCTGTAGGTGGGAAAAAGGAATGTACTAGCACAGGTGAAGGCACATGCCCTCTTTTTAAACAAAGGAGGAAGGATAGCCATAGCTTAAACTTGAAGGTTGAGAGAAGGCACCCACAAGGTGCAACTTTGTTCAATGCTAAACATGTGTTTACTCTGGAGAAAAAGAAAATGGCTGATATTCTCACCTTAAAAGACATCAGCTTTCTCCTACTTTAGACTCTCTGATTTCAAAAGAAGTTGTTTTGAGTCCAGGCTGACAGCTGATGCTCTGGGAGGCAGGTGTTTCTTCTGTGTGTGGAGCAGCTTGTGGATGGCATTTCCAGCCACCTTGAGCATCCTCAAACCTTCTTGTCTCTGGATAACCTTATGAATCCTGACAGATTGACCTGCAATGAGAGAGATGTGTTGCTTGTAGACTGTTTTCCCTACTGATGGAAACCAGCAGAAGACTCACCCAGGTTTCTTGGCTTTTGAAGCAGCTTACTGAAATGAACTGCTTGGTTTCTGAACTGCAGCATGGGAGTTTGGGTAGGGTTGCTCCAGTCTGCTCTTTCTGAGAGAAAACAGAAGCCCAGTCCAATTTAGAAGCATGATGAGAGTGGGTTGAGCTTGGATGCTAGGAGAAAGTGGGTACTTACGAAGAAATATCTGGCACCTACCTCAAATATCCATGAATGCATGGTGGCGAAGCTGCAACAGATAGAAGAGCAAGCCCGTTTCTCACTCAGGGAAGTATGTGGCCTCATATGTGGTCTTCTTCACAAGTTTTCATAAATATAACTATATTTAACTGTATCAAGGAGTTGCAGTTTTGATGACAAAAGCATATAGGAATGAGTCACATAAAGCCCAGAATTAATATTTTTATGCATTTTGAAAGTTGAAAGTCTTCCCTGTTTCAAACCAAGAACTGAGAGGTTCTATAGGGAAGAGGTAGCTTTGGGGAAATTGGTGATACACCTTCACTAAAAGACCATTTCCCTTCTCTGCTGTGTCCCACAGCTGCTCTGTCTCTATTTTAAAATGTTGTTATGATTATCACCTATCCTCTGTAGCAGACAGAAAATACAAAGGTATATTAGTCTTTCAATTCCTTTTTGTTTGGAAAGTGTCAAGTTCTTAACCTAATGTGCAATGCTAATTTCAACTCAGTCGGACTGAAGGTTGCTGTGAGATGTACTCAAGCTTCTGTCTACACCCTTGAGAATTTAATGGGTTTCCCTTTCAGAGCTGGTAGGAAGACTCCCTACACCTTTATGGTCATTTGACCAACCATGTGTTTCCATTCAGTCAGGCTAAAATATAATCAAACCTCCCCTCTCAGAATCAATTTGGATGCTTACAGGTGGATACTTTCCTTCAAACTGTCTTCTTTTTCAGACAGAATATCATTCCCATTTTCTATTTGTTTATAACTTAGGGCTGCTTGTGTCCTAGAAAATGACATGATGCTACATGTTTCTCTAGCACTGACTTTGACTGAACAATTTGACTCTAGATTTTTATCAAATTAATACATATATCGATTTATTGATAACATTTCATGGAACCTACGCAAAAAAATAACTTTGCTGTTCTCAAATGTTCTGTTGCTCAGTATAGTTAATAACCCCCCAGTGCATACCAAACAATAAGTCTCAAAAGTAGAGATACAGGGAGGTGAATGCAGTTCTGCCTAGGAACTATTTCTGCACTTAATGCTGGAGGAAGTGATTGTGAAAGAATGACTTACGCAAAATGGTTGCATCAGCCTTTCCAGGGATGGGTGATGACTGACAAAAGGAGAGCAATCTGCCACTGAATTTCAGCTTGAGAAGGAGAGAGTGCAAACACAATCCATGCTTATTTTCATGTCAGCAGAAGTGATAGAAGAGGTTGAAATGCGAGTTTGAAGGACGGTTTCATGTATGCCGGACAGTTCCGAACACTTCAGAAGCCATGGATTACTTAGGAGAGCACTCAAGCAAAAGCTGTGTAGACTGGTATGATTCACAGGCTGAATAGTTAGAGGATGTTGGGAAATAGTTAACATAAAGTTTTGTTTGAGAAGCACACTGAAATATTTTCTTATCCCAGGACTGTTATCACACCAGACCTGCCAAAGGGTTTACAGCTTCTGTTGTTCTTGCAGGTGCGAGGCGATCACTTGGATCCCAGAATACATGATTCTCACACAAGGAAACTGAAACACAGCATGCAGTACACAAGGTAAGTATTTATTTGAGGGTTATTCACAATTTGGGGGTATTGTTTGTCTGCAGTACTGGAGCTGTTTAAAAGCAGTTTGTGAACTTTAATAAGTGACTTATTTTCTGGTGTAGCCAACGCAAAAATGATCTTTGGCACCCATGGCAGGAAACACAGCCCTTCTGTAAATCAAAATCAGTATCTTTATAATTACATCCACTGTCTATATGTTGACAGTAACATCCAATTCCCATCTATTACCAGTGTTGATTTTCAGAAAAGGGTGATAGACTTGTTTGGTTGCATATCAGCATGTTCTGCCTTTCCAGTAAAGAATGTAAATTGCTTACACAGCGTCTAAAAGGGTGTGCCAGGAGCAAACACAACTTTGCTTTTTGAAAACCCTGAGGCTGGTGAGACTTTATGCAGAAGACCTCAAAATGTCTTCTGGGGAAGTCTGCAGTGTTGGAAGCCACAGCACACTTGGGGCAAGAAGGAAGAACATGCTCCTGTCTGGGTTTCTCCTTACCAGGTAGTCATACTATATGGGCAGGCTGATGCTACAAAAGCTACAAGCATTTAGAATCATAGTCACAGAATCATTAAGGCTGAAAAAGACCCTTAAGGTTATCAAGTCCAACCATTAAGCTAACACTGCCATGTCCGCTACTAGAGCATGTCCCTAATGCCATGTCTACATGTCTTTTAAATACATCCAGGGACAGCGATTCCACCACTTCCCTGGGCAGCCTGTTCCAATGCCTGACCACCCTTTTGGTGAATACGTTTTTTTTTAATACCCAGTCTAAACATCCCCGGTTGCAACTTGAGGTCATTTCCTCTCATCCCATCACTTGCTGCTTGGGAGAAGAGACCAACACCCACCTCACTACAACCTCCTTTCAGGTAGTTGTAGAGAGCAGTAAAGTCTCCCCTGAGCCTCCTTTTCTCCAGACTAAAGAACCCCAGTTCCTTCAGCCGCTCTTCATAGGTCTTGTGCTCCAGATGCTTCACCAGCTTCATTGCCCTTCTCTGGACCCACTCCAGCATCTCAGTATCTCTCTGGTAGTGAGGGTCTTCACAGATGCCCAGTACAGGCTGGCCACTCTATTTCTGATACAGGCCAGGATGCTGTTGGCCTTCTTGGCCACCTGGGCACACTGCTGGCTCATGTTCAGCCAGCCGTTGAACTACACTGCCCTGTCCTTTTCCACCAGGCATATTTTAAGCCAATCTTCCCCAAGCCTGTAGCATTGCATGGCGTTGTCGTGACCCAGGTACAGGAACTGACACTGAGCCTTGTTAACCCATATGCAGTTTGCCACAGCTCATAGATTCAGCCTGTCCAGATCCCCCTGCAGAGCCTTCCTACACTCTAGCAGATCAACACTCCTGTCCAACTTGGTGTCTTCTGCAAGCTTCTGCACTGAAGGTGCACATGATTCCCTAGTCCAGATCTGGACTAGGGGACATTTAAACCCCTGTTAGAGTTGAAAGATCCAGCTGTAGCTTCATTCTTGAGGGGAAGCACAGTGCAAGAGATGTAAGAGGTGAGAGCCATAGCAAATGCACACATGAAAAGGCAGAACATTAAGAATGATCCTTGAAGATTGCAGAGACATGATATGCCTGGAGTCCAAAGACGAGTAGCACACCATGTCTGCAGAGCTGAGTGGCTGAAGCAGGAGAGTCAGACAGATGTCAAGTTTTCAATTGTTTCGGTTCCTGTTCAAAAATAAAACCTGACGCTACCTTGTCTCCTTTCTGTTTCCTACAGCAAAATGTTCAGACAAACAAAACACAAATCAAGAGCTACACATACCTGGCAAGTGTGGGCCATCTACATGGTCTTAGCGGTAAATCTCTCCAGAGAGAAAGAGATGAAGCAGACTTGTCCTTCCTGTGATACTACTGAGATTTGCAACTGCTCTTCCATGGGCTTGGACTTCATTCCACCTGGGCTCACAGCCAAAACCACAGTGTTAAACCTGGCCCACAACAGGATAAAGCACATCCACTCCCAGGACCTGTGGCAGGCTGTGAACCTGAGAGCCCTGCTGCTGCAGTCCAACAAAATCAGCTCAGTAGATGAGGATTCGTTCCGCTCCCTTGGGAAACTGGAGCTCTTGGATTTGTCAAATAACAGCTTGGCTCACTTGTCCCCTGTGTGGTTTGGGCATCTCTTTTCCCTCCAGCACCTCCACCTGCAAGGCAACTCCTACAGAGACCTGGGGCAAGGCTCCCTGTTTTCTAACCTGAGGAACCTGAGCTCTCTTCACCTGGGCAACCCGTGGTTCTCCACAATAAGGCAAGGGAACTTTGAGGGTGTTGTGCTTCTTGACAAGCTGTGGATTGACGGTGGCAACCTCAGTCAGTATGAGCCAGGAAGTTTGAAGCTGATTAGGAAGATAAATCACATGATCATAAACGTAAGAAATATTAGCGTAGTCTCAGCAATTGTCAGGGACCTTCTGCACTCTGTCACTTGGTTAGAAGTGAGAAAAATCGACCTCAATGAGCCTGCTGAAACGCAACTCTTGAGAGTCTTGTCTAACTCCTTTGCAAACAAAATGTCTTTCAAAGAGACCTTAATAACTGATGCCACTGTTCCTGAGATTGTCAGCATCATAGCAGACATGCCAAAATTAGAGGAGGCTGAGTTGATAGACTGTAGACTCATGGGAACTGGACGATGGAAAATGCAAATTCATATAAACCAATCACAGACTCTTAAAATTGTAAGAATAGAGAAATTATCTATAGAGCAATTCTATTTGTTTACAGACCTTCAGGATGTGGAAGGTCTACTAAGTCTTCTTACCAAAGTCACAGTTGAAAAAACTAAGGTCTTTTTGGTACCATGCAGGCTTTCACGTCGTCTTCAATCATTAGAGTATCTTGACCTTAGTTCGAATTTGCTTGGAGACCGGAGTTTGGAGCACTCAGCATGTCAGGGTGGTTGGCCCTCACTGCAAACTCTAAATTTAAGTCAGAACTCACTGAGTGACTTAGGAATGACGGGTAAAAGTTTGTCTCATCTGAGACACCTAATTCTCCTAGACATTAGCCAAAACAATTTTGGTGATATTCCAGATGTGTGTGAATGGCCAAAGACCCTGAAATACTTAAACCTCTCCAGAACTCAAATTCCTAGGGTAACGACTTGCATTCCCCCAACGCTGGAAGTGTTGGATGTTAGCGCAAACAACCTGAAGGAGTTTGGACTGAAACTCCCATTTCTGAAAGAGTTGTACCTCACCAGAAACCAGCTGAAGACCTTACCTGATGCGGCACCCATCCCTAACTTAGTGGCCATGTCAGTCAGAAGAAACAAGCTCAACAGTTTCTCCAAGGCAGAGCTGGAGTCCTTCAAGCACATGGAGCTGCTGGATGCCAGTGACAACAACTTCATCTGCTCCTGTGAGTTCCTCTCCTTCATCCACCACCAGGCAGGACTAGCGCAGGTGCTGGTGGGGTGGCCGGACAAGTACGTGTGTGACTCTCCCCTGGCAGTGAGAGGGTCTCAGATCGGAGCCGTGCACCTCTCGCTGATGGAGTGCCACCAGTCCCTCATGGTGTCGTTGATCTGCACCCTGGTGTTCCTGGTCATCCTCTCCCTCGTGGCTGTTGGCTACAAATACCACGTGGTCTGGTACCTGAGAATGACCTGGGCATGGCTGCGAGCCAAGCGGAAGCCCAGGCGAGCCCCTCCAAAGGACCTCTGCTACGACGCTTTTGTCTCCTACAGCGAGAATGACTCAGACTGGGTGGAAAACATCATGGTGCGGGAGCTGGAGCAGGCCTGTCCCCCCTTTCGGCTCTGCCTCCACAAGCGGGACTTTGTGCCTGGGAAGTGGATTGTGGACAACATCATTGACTCCATCGAGAAGAGCCACAAAACGCTCTTTGTGCTGTCCGAGCACTTTGTGCAGAGCGAGTGGTGCAAATATGAGCTGGACTTCTCGCACTTCCGCCTCTTTGATGAGAACAACGATGCAGCGATTCTCATCCTTCTGGAGCCCATCCAGAGTCAAGCGATTCCCAAGAGGTTCTGCAAGCTGCGGAAGATCATGAACACCAAGACTTACCTGGAGTGGCCCTCTGATGAGGAGCAGCAGGAGATGTTTTGGGAAAATTTGAAAGGAGCCTTGAAGATGTAGGCCAAGTGAACAGCCCCTATTTCAGCGTATTTGGCATAATGTATATGTTAGTGTTTCTTCTGACTGAGAAAGGTTTCCTTCCTGTTTTCTGCCTATGGAGATCTTGCTTTGTTGGATATAGAAATAATTATCATCTTTCTAAATGAGAAAGACACATTTTCAGATTTTCAGTGATTTAGTGCTCTGATC